GCTAGATAGATTCATGGATGATAGAGAGTGGTAGTAACTCTCGACAGGAGCTGCCATGCACAGGCCAACCGGCCTATTGCAGACTCCTTATTTTCTTATGTTCTTATGTTCTTATACTACAGACGGGCAAGGGGCGACCTACTCAGTCAACTGTACATACCTGGAGCTGGCAAACATCCACCCCACAAGGGGTCACAGCCAAGGCTGAAGAAGCCAGAAAACTGTGAGGGCGAACTTTTGGGGAGTGAGAATTGTGAACTCTTGGAGCAATCTGCCAGAGCATGGGCACCGAGTTTGAGATCATTCAAGACCAGACTTGACCATCACTGGAGCAGGTTCCGATATATTCGAGCAAGTGCATGCCCAGTACTAGCCAACAGTGCATAACAGAGACGTGACCGACCGTCCAAGCAGCTAACGAGCCAATCAGTGGCGAAGAGGATAAAAGCAAAGAAGAGCAGATCGGGTGCTGCACTGAAACAAGGAGCAGATGACAACAGGCACCCAAAGCAGATTTTTCTGTGGCTTATTTACAGTAAATAATTAATTTCTTCACGTACAAAGCATGTACAGACATCATTGTAGTGTTAAATGATCAGATATCACTTTACCCTGCAATTTCCTCACCCTTCATGCCCTGCACACTACAGGTGATTTATTATTGTAGAGAAAAACTAAAATATAAACAATGTACTTATAATTAAAATAAAAAGGGTTACAAGATGTTTAGGCTAGGTTAGGTAGGGTTAGAATAGGTCATGTTGGGTTAGGTTGGATTAGGTCGGGTTTGGTTGGGTTATATTAGGTCAGGTTAGGTTTAGGTAGCACCATAAAAAGTTCTTGTATGGTTTTATTACTTACTATCATTCAAAGATCTTCTAAGGAAAAACAAAACCGAACAACTCCTTCTGGTGTTACCTGCCTGCTGCAGTATTAACGTAAATTTAAACGACAATGCACAGGTTTGAAAGGTAGGTTAGGTCAGGTCAGGTTCTAATTGGTTATGTGCATTCTCACTTCCATTTTCGTGTTCGGTATCATATAAATATTATCTCCAGAAATTTTGGTTCAATTCCATAAATTATTTCTGGTATAAACCTTCACTCAGCTCACTATTAATGGTTAAATTCGTTTTTATCCCAATTGGTATAAGATATTTTTCTGGTATATTTTGGTTAGGTTAGGTTAGGGTATTATAGTGGACATGCTGTAGTTTGTGAAAATGTTAAAATAAATATTTTTAAAATAAACGCTACTTAATATTTGTGGTTAAGAAGAACAGACCTAACCAACCAACCAAATCAAACAAACCTACCAACCTTTACCTAACTTCCCGGTATATTAAACAGAAAGAATTTACTATAATATGGTGAAATTTGATGAATTTTTCTGGACGTGAGATGATACGGCCTCATCGGCGCTATGCAGCCCTGGCGGTTAGTCCTATATATTAACCAAAAATCTGAAATACCTATTTGGATAAAAACGAATATTAACCCTATTATTTTTTTTAAATTCACCAAATCGTCGACGGTAACGAATTATTTCTTACTACAAACACCAATGTAAACTACAACAATACCAAGGCAGCATAATATATAAAATGTCGGAGTTTATCTTTGAAATAACTTTTCATAAAACATCTTCACCTAAATTTCCGCTTGATGGCGGAATAAAACTCTCAATAACTACTTGTTGGGTTGACAAACTACCATGGGCCATGGTGGTTAACCAACTCTAACATCACATGTCACTTAATTATGAAAATAAAAATACCAACAATTTACTCACCACAGAGGACAGTAGCAACATAAACTTGTGTTTAAATAACTTAATATAAAAATACTAAACATTTGGTCACCACATAACAGCTCGTCACCACACGTCCTTCCTCACGGCTCACTCAGGCAAATGGCTTGATGGTGACGTCACAATGGTGTGTTATAACAAGGAAGGAATATATCGAGAAACTTGTACTACATTCAATTAACGTTTAGCCCCTGACTGCTGCGCCATCTCTCGATTTAATTTAACCATAAAGTTTATCATAGAAAACGTGTTGTTGTCTGGAGACTGAGCTTGTCTTTAGCGTAGACTCCTGTCATAAGCCATATACATTTTCATTCTTAGCGGCCATTGATAAACATACATGATTGTCTGCTTATACATTTATATATTTATTTATACTTGTATATATATATATATATATATATATATATATATATATATATATATATATATATATATATATATATATATATATATATATATATATATATATATATATATATGTGTGTGTGTGTGTGTGTGTAAAATCTGTTTAACAAACCAAAACTACAGTAAGTTTAGTAACTATTCAGCCATTTGGGCGTGCTTAAATTTTGGGACAATTGAGCACTTAAAGCGAATATTTGACAACAGAACATGAATGGTCTTTCACCTCAAAGATAATTGGTATATATTCAATACTTCTTTGACCGAATGGATGGAATTATTTTTATGCTCGTCAGACCATTTTTGTATGAAGGACGAACAAAACAGGAGAACAGTCCCGTTACACCGCGTGACGCGTGTAAAGTTTCTTTTAAAATGATCTCTTCTTCCTCGTTCAACAGCTAATGGAACCCAACCTAGATAATCCACAACGTGACAACACACCGAGATCATAACAAAGACGAAGCCAAGACGTGAACACGCACAAGGTGCTGTTCATTCTAGTATTAGCAAAGCTCTATTCATCCCCGCACGGGTGGCAGCTCTGAATTGAAGTATAATGTTACACTAGCTGTATAATTATTGACTACACGGTTGTGAGTAACTCTGTGGGTTAGTGAGTGTTGGAAGCTTCGTGTGAGGGAGAACGAGATTGTGTAAACTATTCTCAACCTTAACAAACAGACCACACAGTAAACAAGTGTTTGATTTGTAGTAGTTGAATGAGGGTGCGCCAGGTCCGTAGACTTGCTATTGATGGAATGTCACAGGTCGACGCCAGTGCCCTTCGTTGTCAAGGAGATAAACACGAAGACGCTTGTTTGACTTGTTATATATAACGTAACATGTCCGTCATGTAATTTCACCAAATTTACTAATTTCAATTTTTTTATTCTAGATAAACTCAATATCTACTGTATACTATAGGTCATCACCTGACCCACGGTCTGCCCTGAGGTTTCATTGAAAGAGATCATTTAATTGATCCACAATATTATTATAATGATAAACTTGTACCTTATTATAATGCTTTGTGTGATAATAAAACCAACAAGAAAAGAATAATTTTTAGAACTCCTTTTATTTATAGAAGTATAATAATTAAGCTTCATCTTTCATTTCTACAACTTTTACGTGAAATAACTTGTCTTAATGACTCTTGCAAAGTTTTTAATTAATTTTGCAATCGTAATTACTCACCACCTAAGATTTTTTAATGGAAATTGTTGGTGGTTTAGTTATTCTGGACGAATGAAATTAAAAATAAATAAATAAAAAATCTTTAATTTCCAACTCAAAGAGAAAAGGTGTTTATCAGCTTATGACCACTAAGGCCTTGTAGTTAATAAGGGCAAATAATTATGAAAATTTCGAATTCTAAGGGATATTAGAAAAATTATTATAGATCAAACGACCACAGATTCTTATTCAGAATGTCCAGAACTACCTATGTACTGAAAATTTGAGCTAAATATATTTTTCGATCCATGAAACCTCTAGTAGTTATTTTAGGCCGAAAAATTAATCTTCAAAAGCTCAGTACTCTTGAGCATGCTAATTAAGAATCTATGGTAAAAAAAAATATATATAGTGGGGTAATTAGTGGTGCTATTGACAATTTGGAAATTTATAATGGCTTTTTCAACGCCAATTAATCGCCAACTTTGGTTTTGCGGGAATTTTTTGTTTGTGTTTTTGCGTTATTCTGGAAGTACTTAAACAGTTAACTTATTGATCGTGGAGCACTGTCACGAATGTGCTTTGGGAGTTGTTAGGTTAGGTTAGGATACGCCAGGATAGGTAGGGATAGATCAAACTAGGTGAAACCGATAGAATAGGTCAAAACATATCAGTATAAGCGGTCAGGAGTGGTCAGAAGGCATTGCTTAGGTGAGGTCAGTGTTATATATTCAAGTCGTTAATGACCAAGGAACCAAAGATTATATTACATGTTTAGTCTACGTGTGAGGAGTGAAGGTTCAATAAGAGATGGTCGGCTGTACTCCTCTATATAACATAGTGTCTTAACTATTATTACTCTCCACAAGGGTAGGGATAGGTTAAGTTAAAAGAGGTCAATATAGACAATTAGAGTGGTCAGGAGGCATTAGACAGGTGATGTTAGGTTAGATATGCTTAGGTCAAGATAAAACAGGAAACCATAAATAGGTCAGAAGTAAATGCCATTTGTCAGGAAATAAAATTGTTCATGTCAAGTAACATTTTGCTTGAGAATATGAGACTAAAATATGTAATTCTGATAATTATTTGTTCTAAGTCACGCGTTTGAAATTTGTATAATTAATTTACCTGATTAATTGTAGCATTTTTGGGGCTGAAATTTTTATTTTTTTCGAAATTTTAGTACAGGGTAAGAAGTTTTTGACGCACAGACTAAGTTTCTGTGGCCCCAAAAATTTAATTCTGATTGTTAAGATGTCTTTTTCTCTTATCTTTACGTACTGTACTAAACATATTATATTAAACGGAGTGTATAGGAGGAGGTGAACTGGTGGGAGAGGGTGAGGAGACTGAGGTGGTGAGGGGAGAGAGGGAGGAGAGGAGTGGTGGTCAGATCCCCCCAGGGCCAAGCCTCCCGCTCTTGTACAACCGCTTGGAGGGGGGGGGGGCGGTCTGTCTGTCTGTCGAGTGTGACTAATGTTATCATTCTCCTAAGGGTCACATGTTATCAGAGTCTGTCAGCATACAATCCAAGATATTTTTCTCTATACTGTATTATGTATACAGTACAGCGTTTACACCAAATGTATTGGTTCTCACGCCAATGAAAACTTGACCAGCAACTCGTGTAAGTGATGCCCCGCCCCTCACATGAAGGTTCCTCAACATTAGGCAGCCCCAGTCTTGACGTGACAGCCACTAGGAACGGTCGTCAACAATGTGGTCCCTATTGTTTCTTCTTACCCTGTCAGTGGCCACAGTCCACCTTGCCATCGAGAACCAATTCTGGCATGCGTCTGAGGTCTCCGTCGAAAGGGTGACATCAATGAGTAGCACCCAGTTAGGATCATTAATTCGGTGTGCAATGTTGGCTACCGAGATTTCATGGAGCCACTTGTTCGTCTTCAAGGACGGCGTCTGCTCTCTCTCTGACATGAGGGTCGGTAAATACCTGAATGACTCTGACCTAGGCCCGACCATCGCCTGCCATACCCGGCACATGTATGGTAAGACTTCTGAAGGAGAGAGTCACCCTCCTTCACCCACTGCACTAGAACACTGCCTTAATCAACACCTTCAATCATCCTTCACTCTATATGTTCATTCCTTTTTCATAACTTATTAAATTGTTTAGTTAAAGAAAGGGATGTTAGTACTGTATAAAGTGTACTGTACTACTGCATGTATATTATACTATATAAATAAGATAAATTTCATTAACTCTAAAAATATGAGAAAATGTTCCATGACATTCAAGGGACACACCTACGAGTTTTCTGGTCTTATAAGACAATTAAAAGTTCACTTTAAAGTATTGTGAGTGCTTGGTCACCTAGATGCCCAAATTAATATTACTCTAATAATGCTGAAATTCATTCTTAGCACAAAAAAATGTGTAGGTGTACGATCAAATCGATGAACACATTTAAAATGAGATCCTATGGCTGATTTAGATTTTCATTTTAATGAAAAATGCAGAATTGGCGTTGATTGGGCAATGAAAGAGCTGAGTTTTGATGGTAGCCACGGAGCCAACTGTCGGATTTTTGCTAATACTGAAATTCAGCTTTATTAAAGCAACGCTAAATACATTGGGGCTAAATTTTTCTCACTGCTATAGCTTCTGATGAAGCCAGTACACTTGTTATTTAATTAGGAAGTCAATAATACTCCCAGAGATCATTTTACAATGCTAGAATTCATTTGCATGTAGAATTGGTTGATGTATAGTGGTGAGAAGCTGTCCACTTGCTTTAAAGTCACTTGAGTTGTGGGTTGATTGTGGACTTTTTTCATGTGATGAGAGGAATTAATGTATTGCAGGGACACCTGCAATAGACTCAACTTACCTTGGAAAGTAAGTGCTGGAGACTAAAATATCCATATCTCCATTAATGTGGTCAGGTAACTTGTTCCTGTCCGTTACAGCTATAAAGAAGAAAGTGTTTCTCCCTTGACCCCAAACTCTGGTAAGAAATTAGGGCGGAAAAATGTTTTACAGTATGAAGATGTAACATGTTTCAGTGTGTAGAACCAACGGCTACACCTACGCTGATGGGGAATCGTTGGAGGACACGTGTGGTTACTACTTCTGTGACCGCGGTACCGTCGGCAACATTATGAAAGGTACACTCCTTACACCTTGTACCAGAGCAACTGTGTGACTTCATTTCCCAGTGATAAATCCTTCTTTCCCTTCTCGTAAAATTCTCTTACCTTACACGTAGTTCTTCATTGTCTCCTTTTCTATTTGTCTCCCTTACTCTCCTCCTCTATGTGTGGCTCACTTTTCTGATATACAGTATACTGTATCAGCAATGGAAACATCACCTGTGAAGCATAGTTTAATAATTCATAGTAATGCCAAGGCTGGGACAAAGATGAATGTCTTCACACTTATTCTTTATTTACTAACGTTTTGGTTATTGCAGTCATCATCATCACAACAATCTATAGAAAATAACAATAGCTTTCAAACTAATCAAATAAATTCAAATGACCTTATCCAATGATGAACTTAAAGAGATGTTGACCAGTGAAGTTAAGAACAGTTATGAACAGTTATAAGAATACACAATGAAGTTAAAGTGTAAGGGGCAACCATTCTTGAAGCACACGAGTTCATTTACAGTCTTCTATTGTTTATTCTTAAATGTGCTTCAATAACCAAAACGTTAGTAAATAAAGAAGAATAAGTATCAAATTTCACAAAGTTGCATGCCATACATGTTAAACAATACTGTACACTGAGTATAAAATTGGTATGGGCAGATTATGGAGATCAAACAGATGTTGGAACCGCCAGGAAACTATTAAGGTAGATAAAAATTGAGGCGATAATTGAGTCATTTGAGGGATCACCCAAAAAATTCGTCAACAAGAAGAATTAGCGTCGACCTTGAGCAAGTATATGGAGGGGGATACATGTATACTAATATACAGGGTTTCTGTGCTGAATATACACCTCCCTACCAAAGATATAGTTAAGTACATCATTCAGTATGGACTAATATGTGCAACCAAGTTTCCAAGTCCTCTTAGGTAATGGCAGGAGCAACAAATCCCAGACCTTGTGGGCCCTGCCAGTACCATCTCTCACTGCTTTCTTGTTCTGGGGTAATTTCTTTTTCAATCTCTTTTGATAGAGTTCTTTTGTTGAGCCATTACTGACACTTTTCACTGTTTGTAACCCTGTCCTAACTCTATCACATTCCTCAGTTGTGTATGGAGTTATATTTTGAAAAGTAACATGAATGTACATAGACATCCTGAATATTATACTCACTAATACAGTAATTTGGTACAATATATTTCATATGATGTAATTTACAGCAACAACATGCCCTTCGCCTTTCACTGAGGATGCTGGTCTTGGGTGTGTCTACTTAAACAAAGTGTCAATGACTTTTTGCGATGCAAGGAAATGGTGGGAAGCTCGGGGCTGATCTTGCTTTTACAGACTTCACAGCCATAGACAACTACATCACCGACGTTAATGGTAAACAAATTATGTTTTAATTTTGAGAAAGTGTCACTATAAATATCAATTCCTTTTGTTTCTATTTTCCTTCACTTATATTGTTATTTACATGAGCATGAAGGATCATTAATATCTTCCCCAGAATTATGGGTGGGGGTGAAGGCGCGGAAGTGGGTAGATGGGCGGCCTGTCCTGGCTTCGGAATGGAATCTTAACGAACCCGATGGGCTTCCCGAAGACTGTGCGCGCCTGTTTGGACAACCCAACTCAAAACTTGCTGATAAACCCTGTGCCAAATCTTTTCCATTCCTGTGTCAGATTCCTCTGTACAAGGAGAGAGTGTAGTAGGCAAGACATGGTGGTGTTAGTGGTGGTGATGATATTGATCGTGGTAGTGGTGATGTGATGGTAGTGTTAGTGGTGGTGTTGTGACAGTAGTGTTGTTGGAGGTGATGGTGGATGTGGTGGTGATGGTGGATGTGGTGGTGATGGTGGATGTTGTGGTGGTGGTGGTGGTGATGGTGGATGTTGTGGTGATGGTGTTGATGGTGATAGTGATGATGGTGGATGTGGTATAGTAACCAGACCAAGGATGCACAATAAGTAGTTCCCTTCATGCATGTACTTCCTGCATGGTTATAGTGTTAATATAGATTACCATGTAGAATGCCATTGGCTCTTATCTGTTGTCTGGTGGGCGATGGTGCCACAAAACACGCCAGCCACTGTACCTGTTATAAATAGAAGTAACTGTACAGGTTGAAAAGCTGTAATCCAGCACCTTGTGGTCTGGCAACTTCTGCAGTCGTCATGATTGGTTGCCGTGGTGAAACTGCTTGGCGAAGGTGGCATCCTTGTTGCAAGTGGTCCTGCGGAGTTTGTTTACATCCATCAGTGTTGTTCTTGCTTCTATTTAGCAATAATTTACCCTTTAATCCAACAGCTGCACAAGTAGGTTTCTCGGCCACATACAATCATGCACAAAACACACATTGAAAAAATCTCGAAAGCAAATTTTACAGTATAGAAATAAAAATTGCATGCAGAAGTATGGAAAACTAAACAAATATGAATCCCCGACGTACCCTTGCCTTAGTTTAGCCATGGTGAAGTAATGAAGTTGAGCATCTTGGGTCAGGCAGGTGAGAGAGAGTTGTGGCAGAGAACCTTTCCATGAATTACAAATTTCTACTGTGTGCCTATTGTAAAAGTACACTGTATACATATTTACAAATTACCACACTGTACTTTACATAGTGTGGCTGTCACGTATAGCTACTCATCATGATGACTCAACTGATACTGAGGACATTTAGGGTGGTGAGAGAAGTGCGTGAGGGGGCAAGCATGAGTGAGTCACCAAATCATGTAGCTATGAAAGTCACAATTTGACACCAAATTTAAAAAACATACTGTAATAATAATAATAATTCATAATAATAATAATAATAATGATAATAATAATGATAATAAAAATAATAATTTCACCATATGATGTACAGTATATTTCGCAGTTACACTCTATTTAAGTAGTTGTTGGGTTAATGTGGCTTCAAATAGGTCGGTAATTAGCGATAGTGACGGTAATGATATATAACCTGCACCATGCTAACATAAGGCACACACTATATTCCTTTCAAGCACATGTTATCAAAATAAAAATTACTGCATATGGCAATTCATTTGATACCATGTTGGTCATCCTCGTATCGTCACGGAAAAAGTCCTAGTGATCCTCCATCCTGTTCATGAACCCTGTGACTGATGAACCCAGAATCTTAAGACATCACACAGTGCGTCATCTATGGGCCCAACACTGTGTGATGTCTCGGATTCACAAATTCATGAGTCTCAGGGTTCATGGATGGGATGGAGGACCAATAGGGTTTTTTCCTTAAGTGTGCATACCAAGCAATCACTGCCCCTCATATTGTACGTCTCCAAAATATTAAAAAAGACATCATTAAAATGGAAAGACTTACATGTGTTCTTGTCTTATGTGCAATACAGTACAAACTAAAGTTGTTGTATGTACAGACAAATGGTTCATATATATTCACATAAGTAGTAATTAATAGTCATATAGCAAGAACTACTAAAAAAAAGTTTCAAAGGATAATTTATAGATGACAAAAATTCAGTACAGTACTAAACTTGAACCATAATCTAGTAATTAATTATTTTACATATGAACATGAGGGTTAACATGAAGCTCTTAATAAACAATTATTAAACGTACAAAAACCCCACAATATACGCACAGTTCTTGCATGACACCAGTGCAGTGGTCAGTGGTCACAGTCACACGCCATCACACCAACTGAATAATGCTCTGTAATAATACAATTTATTCAGTATAATAATCATATTAGTTTCTAATATGCTAGGCACATATACTCTGTATAGATATTATAAGTACACAATGTGAAATAAATTAAAATAAAAAGTACAGATAGTGCAGGTATTCAATTTTACCTAGACAATAATAGTAAACAATAAAGCAATATGACCAATAATAGCCAATACTAAAGCTACTAGAGACCTTATGTCCAGTAGGGTCCTTTGCTTAGACTTGGTCACTAGTCAGTTATAGTATATCTTCACGTTAACTTTATCTAGGAATCGAGGGCAATCCATTATACAAGTCATATATCACTACCAGTCTACAGTCTCTCTTTACTCACCTTGTACAGTTGCTTCCTGTCACTCCTGCCATCACACCCGACACACAGATAGCCAAAACATCAAAGTGTTCCGTTTCCAGCCATGTTTGTTGACTCAAGCAGTTCCTGAGGCTAAATATTCATTTGTTTATAAATAACAAATGGGATATTAAATGTTAAGGATATACAGTGATATCCCCGTTAGCCGGAACAATTGGTGCAGAGAATTTCCGGGAATGAGAGATTTCCGCAACGAGACGACTCTCTCAAAGCCGCAGTCCAGGTAGATGTAACCAGTTTATGGTGAGTAAAGCAATATTTATTAAAAGAATAATCTTCACACACAATTCGTTACTGTTTCATCACCTAAGAATAAGTAACTACGAAAATGTAACATTGAAATAAGTATATATAGTGTGAGTTTACGGGCCTAGTTCAGCACGGTCTGTTTGATGGATAAGCTGCTATATGGCAATGGGTCACTTGAGAATTAACAGGTGATTGGGTAAGTCCAGGTGGGGTCATGAGGGGTGGTCACACAGGGCTTAACTAATTAAGTACTTCCAGAATAAAAAAAAATCCTAAATTGCACCTCAGAAACCCAGAGTTGGCAAGAAATTAGGGTTGAAATAATGTAATTAATATCTTCCAAGCATCACTACAGCCACTAATTACCCTGCAATCGAATCGTGGACCATTAATTGGGTGGGTGTGTCGCATAAGTAATAAAAATGCTGTAATTGTAGGAAAAATCAACGTATTCGCAGACAATTTACCTCATCTTCTGTTAAATACCAATAAACTTAAACAGATTACCCAAAAAATTATTATGATGGATTTGTGGGAAAAATATCGTAATATGGACGTGAGGATAAACTGCTTCACTATCCATGCTAATACAATATTAACAGTACTTTTGGGTTAGGTAGGATAGAAATTTTGGTGGGTTGCCCGCAGGAAAATACCTAAATCGCAATGCGGCCCATGACTGAGGAAAGGTTACCCATGACTGAGGAAAGGTTGCCCATGACTGAGGAAAGGTTGCCCATGCCTGAGGAAAGGTTGCCCATGACTGAGGAAAGGTTGCCCATGCCTGAGGAAAGGTTGCCCATGACTGAGGAAAGGTTGCCCATGCCTGAGGAAAGGTTGCCCATGACTGAGGAAAGGTTGCCCATGCCTGCTCTACATGATAACTGAACTGATGAAATTTTGGAGAAGAAAGTTTTAATATATCCAACTAAAGAAGTGTATTATAAGACCCTGGTACTGTGTCACTGTTACTACATTATGCAGTTTGTAGTCTTACTTACTTATCCTCTTCGTCACTTATCACTCTGTTGTTCAGAAGTATCTAAAGGTTGAAGTGAAACACAATACTGAAAAAATATTCACTTATATTTACACTGTGTCGGTTACAGAAGTAATAAATAGTAAGTGATTGGTCATTGTACAATACTTTTTTTTACATGTCTTTTGTTTTGTGTGAATTACATCAGTGATTATCATTCATCAAGCAGACTTGGTTTAACATCATCTAGGGCAGGATTCTCCAAGATTCAAACATTTATTCTTTCCCGAATTTTTAGGATCAATAATGCAACTATTTATGATTGAATTTTACAGCAACTTCAACACTGATTATCATAGATTATTAACCCATTCGGGGCTCCTGGCATTGAAAGGTGCTGAACATAGCTGAGGTCTATTGGCATCCTGAACAACATGTGCTTTTTAAAGTAAGTCAGTTAGATGCATTTTTGTGAAAGTACGGGAAGGGAAATTAGCCGTGAAGACCGTTTGAGAATCCGGGAAACTTGGAATCCATTCACGCGGACTTATCTCTCAAAAACTTAATTTTCATTGGTGAATATATTGACCACAGTTTCACCTTATTACACAAGAGTCGTGATTGAGGGTTTTAACCAATGAAAATAAGTTTTTTTTATAAACAATTGGTTGTTTAATTTGACCAGACATGCTACACTGTCAGTGTTCATTTATAGAAGACAACTGACCTTTGCATACATACATCATACATACATCTATTCCACACATATACACCACATACATGTACACTACACACATGTACAACATGAACACCACACACATGTACAGCTCCTAGTCACAGGCCTGGCACTTGACATTATTAGGGACCTGCCATGCTTTGCCATAAACAGATGAAATGTACCGGGAACTTTCCCCCACACACTCATCATTCTCTCACTTTATGTAACTTGACAGAACCTATGACCCTTCAGGCTTTTACGCCCTTAATGTACGAGTCATAAAGGCAAGTATGAACTTTTCATACTTCCCTGTTGGGCGCTGTAAACGCTTCTGCGCTTCACCTTGCACAGGATATAAGGGGGTGCCCAATAAACTAGCCCCCTCGGGGGCAAATCTGAATCTGAAATCTGACACATGTACAGTACACCCACACATATTCAAACACTCTTCACGGGTGGCTGGAGAAACTCACATCATGGGTTCAAATTGACAGATGTTGAAGCACTATTATTTAGGTCTTAAATTCTTTAAAGTTTATATGATTAGATTTTATATGAACTGTAACTATGAGAACAAGTATTAAGTGGAGCACCTTAGGATAAACTTGATTGCTAAAATGGAGTCAATATTGCATAAAGACCCTTATATAAGATGTACTGGGGATGGACACATAAGACGAACGGCTAAATTTAATATTATATTTCATCTAAAGGTAATTTTGTTTGGGTTACGTTAGTCGTTTGTTTGACCCCAAAAAATTGGTGCCACGAACACATTTATCACCAGTAGTACTTAATATTTTTATAAATTTTAATTACTGTATATGTGATATATGAAATGTCAAACATTTTCCAAATTGGTGGTACATTACTACAGTGATACTGGTAGCACACTTACCTCTCACTACAGCGTTCTGGGTTAACTTCGCACTTGGTTCAAATGTGATAAGAGTGTCAATCAGTGAGACATTACCAAACATGGTGGGTCTTCTCCTGGTATTTTAGTTTTCTCATGTTCTAACTAACACGATCCATGGGGGACGGCCTTAACTAGACCTCAAAGGAGACCATTTAAGTCATAACTGATGAAAGATAAACAGTATTAATATTATATCAGATGCCCAGTTAGCTGAACTCTTCATTAACACACACACACACACACACAAGCACACACATGCATGCCACACACACACACACACACACACACACACACACACACACACACACAGCTCATATTATTTGGCAAACTACATACGTTCTATATATATATATATATATATGTATTTATATATTTATCAACCTTCAGACCCAAACAGTATGTGAACTCAAACACAAGAGGAAAGTGCATCACACCGAACTGTAAACAGATGCCGCCACCCTCCCCCAAAAAATAAACAAAACATAAGTGGATATGGCGACAGTATTTGCCTGTGTTATAAGAGTGAGGTCAGTGGGTACAGGAGCACCTATAGGGAATCCCAGAAAGTTTAGTTAGAAGTGGTTAAGTTATGCACCCATACTGGGATATTACGTTATTGATGCTAGATTTCCGGATAATTGGGTTTGGTTATGGTAGGATTCCGGATAATCGAGATACGTTCATTACGATTCCATAAGATAAAGGTTAAATTTTAGAGAGTTACGTTAATATTCCGGATATTCAGTTATATTATACAGTACAAGGATTCCGGAAAATTAGGTTAGGATTTTTAATACGTTGTTCAATTTCACTTATTGGCAAAAAGTTACGAAATCTTTATAATCCGGTCACCGAGGCGGATAAAGACTATCTAGTGGCTGAATTTACCTAACTTCTTTTACCTGAATTTATGTTATGTCTATTAAGTTAAATTGACAGATTCTGTGGCCTTGTTTCAATAGAGTTACCATAAACATAATAACAACCTATGGGGAAAAAAGCTAAAATAATATAAAGAACATAACATCTCGATAAACTGTAAAACATTATTATTTACGTACTATATAATAAAACAAATAGAATAAAATAATTAATACCCAGTCAGATGCACGTTTACATAATACAGTATTAATAACGACCCTTCTCTACTATTCCATTAGGATGTTATTTTGGGAGGAACCGACAAGATGCACATTCCTGTATGACTGCTAATTGACCAGGTAATTTGCTTATGATGAAGGCCATTTGAAAGGGAATTCACATAATTTTCGGGGGACACTGTTCCATTATCTGTCATCTATTTATCTGGGAACGTAATTTTTTCCCTGAAGTTTTTATATTTATCACCAAGTTCCATAATAATCAAGTTTATATTCTGTAATTATTTCATAACTTAATTTATTCTTAGTCCAATTCCAATTACTATTTAGATGTAGTGTCTTAATTATATTGACCTAATCAACGTATACCTAAATATCTATTAATCTTTCTGGTTTCAAATATTAATCATTGTATATTAACATATTGCTTACTATTCGCTAAACTGATTCTTATACTCAATCATGTTCTCAAATGCACTTTAAGATATTAGTTGTTGTCAAATCATGGTTGAAAGTTGTTTTGGGCAAAGGATATTAATTTCATATGTTAGTTTACTGAGGTCAAACACAATACTCGTGCTGTGTTTTCAAAGTAACATAAAAAGTTTGGAATGTCTAAACTATATTGACAAAAACTGCTCTACAGAAATCATGATCTAAAAATTAAACCATATGTAGTAGTATGAAATAAACAATGTGTCCAGGCAGCCTACACAGGGAGTGATTGCATTTTCCTCCTCACACGCAGTTGTTAATCATACTGTACTGAATATCCATCTACATAAAATGGTATTAAACTAACATTAGTATAATACGTACATGTATTGGGCTCTGAGTATGGCCGGTAACACCACTTGTTATACTCCACATTGTACACAGCTGGTCTTAATATTTTAATTTTCGTCCACTCTTACAGCACTACAGATATTGCCAGGTTTATTGCTCAGTTCTATTGCTGTTTTCTCATTTTCTCAGCTGGAAGAGTTTAAGTTATCCAGTTGAAGTAGTTACATTTACCCCAAAGTTTCTACGTTTGGACAGTCTTGCACTGGGAATAGTTAAGGATACCCCATAAGGAGCGTCATTTTCTCTAACCCATCAGAGAAAACTGTCTTCATTAATGCCAAGTATCAATACACCTTCTCTCTTCCACTATCTTCCATCCCTTTCTCTTGCATTATCTCGTCTTTTCTCTTCTTCTTATCACCTGACTTGACTGAAATCCTTAGGAGTGAGAGCTAATAAATGTTTGCACCAAAGGGAAGAATAATGCTGTACATAGAATCCTAATAAAACTGTGTTGGTGGAAAAATGTGGATGACACCTTACTTGAGTTATTTTATACACCATTATGATTTCCGGTGGACAGGTGTACCGTGCTACGCCATACTCGGCTTTACTTGATAGTCTGGTAGACTGTGCGCTACGCCTTACGTGGTTTCTTGGTAGCCATCATGTTGAGTGGGTCCTTGCCGTAGCGCGCGAACACTTCCTTCTTAAATCCTTCGAAGAGCCGACGATTGGCATTGTTCTGTTTCTCCCTCCATGCTGGGCGACTCCGCTTCACCTGCATCCCCCAGTGGAGAGTGAAGATCGGCGAGAGGACGTGGAAGGTGTAGCCTGACACGTGCATCTCGTAAACCTGTGAGAGAGATGGAGAGCGACACAAGTGAGGAAGGTAAGAATTGTTAGAATGGGAGAGAGGGAAGGTGGAAGAGGATGGGTGGAGGCGGATGGGGGATTGGAGAAAGGAGGAGAAGGAAGGAGGATGAAGGAGGGTGGAAGAGGTAGGGAGGAGGAAGAAGGAGGAAAGCTGTTGGAGAAGGAGGAAGGAGGAGGAGGAGGACAAAGGTGGTGGTGGGGGGAAGAGGGAGGTGGAGAAGGAGGAAAGAGGAGGAGAAGGAAGAAGTGGGAGAGAAAGAGGGGGGATTGAGGAGGAGTATAGGTGGATAAGGAAGAGGCGAGGATGGAGGAAGAAGAAACTGTAAAAATGGTGAGAGGTGAGATGGAATAAAGATTAGTAGAGAGAAAAGGATAAATGCGAAAGACAAGGAGTCGAAAGGAAGGAGAGATGGGATGGAATTGTAAGGAAGGAAGGAAGGAAGGAAGGAAGGAAGGAAGGAAGGAAGGAAGGAAGGAAGGAAGGAAGGAAGGAAGGAAGGAAGGGAAGGAAGGATGAAAATAGAGAAGAAATGGGATGAATAAGAACGAGACCAGGTAATCTACTACCTGGTGCAATTTCATTGAATTATTATCCTCAGGTGAGAGAAACAGGACATCAAGAAGAACCAACAATAAACCTAAAGATGTGTCTCAACTTGGCAGCAACAATGGGTCTAACTCCCCTAGTTGTGGCAAGGTAAACACACATTGTTGGAGAACAGACTGGCTCAAACTCTCAAGGTTAGTGGGGCTTCTTGTACCAGACTCCCGGTAATTGTTGTACTCGGGGTAAAAACACCTGCCACTAACTCACCAAAAAAGAACTAAGTGAGGCAGGAAGGTGATTTATAAAGATAGAATTGGTGACCTGTTCAGTTTATAACCTAACGTAATAGAATCAGAGGTACTTGTATAATATCTCAGGTGTTTTCTACCTTTACCTTCAATGAGAGAAATAATTGCCTTTTAATCTCTTCGGGATCTTCCACTAGACCTCCATCGTGTTGCGTTAGGGAGAACCAGAGATGACGAGGGGGATTTTCTTTCAGGGATCAAGACAGTATATGGGTTAGCTCCTTTATTTTATACCAACAGTAGTAATGTCCCTCTGCTCGACCGACCAAACAATACCTCACTAATGTTGTCTCGCGGCGCCACTACCAAGCATCTATAATATTTCACACACCCCTCACCGCCCCCAGCAGCCAGAGATCACTTCAGTAAGCCCCACGACTGATCTTGTATCCCTAAGACCACCCTAACATGCGCCTCATAGCCACTAAACACTCCACCTGGTAATGCAAAGATAAACCACCAGCCAGACCATTGGTGACCTGGACTGCCATATCAACAAAGACATAAGATTGTTAGTTAAGTGTACTGACCCGCCGCCAGTACTATACCTCCGAGTAACTCAATTATACCAGCGAGGGAAGGAGAAGAATGGATGGTGACTTATCTTACTGAGAGTTGGAGAAAAAGTTTTAGTGGGATTTTCCTGGACTACAACCGCTCTGTTATGGGAGTCTACCATCTCAGTGCTAAGTTATGTTGGCTTTATGATGTATTACTACACTTGAACGGGATTTAAGTTGGATGTAGAATTGTGGATGAAGGTAAATATATAGATGTCTTGAATTTTTGTTTATATCTTCCACCTTCAGATATTTCCCAGATACAGAGAAGATTTTAATTTCATCTTAATTCCTGAAGCTCTTTAGGGAGGAGGAGAAGGAAGGGGAGGAGGAGGGTGCCTGTCTCCAGAGCCACCAATATAATTATCACGAGTCATCCTGCCTGAGGTCGGTTATAGGCTGTACATCAGAATCATCTAGTCTTCCTAACTGGAGATAACACAACACATTAGTTACAACAATCTTAGTGTAATTCTGGAGTCATAGGGACGAGTCTGGGCTGCCATCGACAGTAACACAAGTTTTATTTCATTACAGATCATTTAAACAAAAATAATCAATTTAGATATAAATATACTATATACTAATTCCAAATATAGATAAAGAACTAAGGGGAAAATAAAACTTAAATCGAATAACAAAAAAAGTTTAATACACTTTTTTCTCAGTTGGGGAAGTGATGGTGGTCGAGTGTAGTGTCGGCCATAGAGCCCCCTTGTGTACACCGTGTGCAGTGTACTGTATCCGCACAGCCCCTAACTTGTCACCAGGAGCCAAAACTCTCGTATGGAACCCTTGAGGTGGAGTGATCTAGTAGATGCTCTGAGAGAGATGAGTGTGGTGGAGGAGAGGTGAGGGTCGATGAAGAGGGGGGGGAGAGAGAGAGAGAGAGAGAGGCAATAAAGGAGAGAGAGAGAGATAATGAGTGATGATGATAGACGTGTGTTATCTCGCCCTTTTCCCCTTGATACTGCTGACGTTGCTGACTGTCAGGCCACCCTCATACACCTGTCAGCACGGTGCTAACGTTAATATATTGTATATGGTAGTAATTCAACTATTTCTTTTACAGCAGTCAATTCCATCATCTAAGGGATAGAGTTCGCTAAATAGAGGGTTCATAATATACCGGACCTATACCCCCTCCATATAGTCCGCTAAATAGAGGGTTCATAATATACCGGACCTATACACCCCCCTCCATATAGTCCGCTAAATGAAGGATTCACTCAATAAGGCCGCCAATTTTTATAAAGATTAGTAACCATGCTTTCTAATCCTGTCTCTTATAGTGTACAGTGTAGTATAGTGTAGTATAGTGTAAGGTGTAGTATAGTGTAGTATATACTGCTCCGTCTTCCTCCCCCTCAATCCTTCCTCCTCCTCCACAGTTCTATAAATACATCTTCTAGGTCCTCGGGAAAAAAAACCCGTTCACCTTAAATACTCACGTTTGTCGTGGTTTAAAGACTTATTGTTGTTACTCATGCATGAGAGAGAGAGAGAGAGAGAGAGAGAGAGAGAGTTTCTGCCATGTATATTTATAGTAATAACCTTAAATCCAGTACACTTACTTACTTTTGGTATATACACATTACACCCGGGTTCCCCCTCCCCACAAGGTACACCTCCCTACACCCTGTTGTACCTCTTCTCCACCCATATATCCACCTGCGTTTACCTTTTGCCCTTCACACCCACCCTACACCCTCCTACACTCACCTATACCCTCTTACACCCACCCTACACCCTCTTACACTCACCTGGGTGTTGCGAGTGAAGCCGTAGCCGAGGAAGCGTTCGTCGTGTGGAGGAACGTCGTCATGGGCCACATAGAATGGTTCGTAGAAGAACTCAAAGTTACTGACTGGGTGGCTTATGGTGACCTGACCTTCTCCCGGGTACTCCCTCTCTCGTGCCTCCCACCTGCCGGAGAGTAGTGGCGTTAGTGGTGCTGGGGGAGTTAGTGTGCTGGGGATGGTAGGTGTGAGGGTTGTGTGCGGGTCTGGAGATGAGTTAGTGGTGCTGGGAGGTGGAGTTAGTGGTGCTGGGGAGATGAGTTAGTGGTGCTGGGGACGTGAGTTAGTGGTGCAAGTGATGTATTAGAACACAACATAACACACCATAACAAAACACAAAACAACATACAACACAACACCCAGTACAGCATGACAGATACAACACAACACAACACACTGAACACTACAACACTACATACCCTCCACCTGTTAAATAAATCTCTCCTACGAACAACATCCCCACTCAGTCATCTTAACCCTGGTCAATAAAATCCTTATTCCCAGATCACAAAAATGACTCTACTCCATCTTTAAGTGACGTGTGGTGCTAGAGACAGGTGTGACGTGTGGTGCTAGAGACAGGTGTGACGTGTGGTGCTAGAGACAGGTGTGACGTGTGGTGCTAGAGACAGGTGTGACGTGTGGTGCTAGAGACAGGTGTGACGTGTGGTGCTAGAGACAGGTGTGAAAACAACAGTGGGGAGGTTAAAGACCACAGGTACGAGTTCAGGTGTATTTAACCCTTTGATGTAATGGTTTAACCCTTTGAAGGTGACTGGTTAACCCTTTGATGATGATGGTTTAACCCTTTGAAGACAATATTTTAACCATTTCGTCCTCAAAGGGTGTTAATAATATCAGGTATACCATCATACTCTGGGAGAGACGAGGATAACCTAACCCAGGTAATATTAGGTCTCAGATTCTAGCGAATGTGTGTAGTAGTGAGGCGACATTTTGGCGTGAATCGGGGCGTGTTTTCCTTTTTTTTGGCTATAATGACGTGGCCCCGTTAAAGTGATATCAAACCCCGTTGTTATTTTTGTTTTTCACAGTGGATGCCCCAACGCCCCCCCAAAAGAAATCAAGTCTATCTCACTTCAAACACAACCCATCAACAACAGTTCAAACATAACAGAGAAAAATATCCACGAAAAATGCATCCTGTTAAATAGAGTCTAGACGTGTTATCGTTTTCCAGATCATATGAAGAATAGCTCCCCCCCCAAGCTCATTTCGTCTGATGATTAAACACCTAAACGCTCTCTAGGTTAGGTTAGATCAGGCCTGTAAACCTATCAACAAAGACCCTCAAAGACCTGTAAACAAAGACCTACATTGTATTAAAGACTCGACCATAAAACAGCACACTCATCGATTTATCCATTGAAGGAAAATAAATTCTCGCGTACAAATACTGGAGAATATGAGACCTCTAGTGCCCCACCAGGTCCTCCCACAACACACACACACACACACACACACACACACACACACACACACACATTAATACAAACACTTTTACCAACTCCTGACAGTCAAATTTCCTGCACCTTCTCCTCAGTAAAGTTCCAAATATAAACATAAAGTATATATACAATGTACATAGATAATACATGCATACATTATACACCATGGGAGGTATAAACAGTGTATTTAGATATACATAGACCGTGTATAGACGAAGCAAGAATAACAGAGAATGTAAACCGAGTGTAAGTAAACCAACATTGATAAAGTGAGTCAATTCAACCCGACCATCAAACACCTCAAAAAGATTCATTACTGTACAAGTGATGAGGTTTGGCTGTTTCATATAGAGAGATAATTAAAACACGATAAACTTCCTTCCTAACACTATCATCAATAAAGGGTCATGTGTTGCATTTGTTCTGAACACAGTTTCTAATTTAGTGATAAGATGTGGAGGAAGTGTTCGTTATTTCACTTATAAACACTGGTGCTTCGATACAAACCCGACAGTGACATAGTTCGTATCGTTTGTATAGTTGAGAAATGACTTAGGGTATTGGTTGATCCTTTTTGTGTGTGTGTGTGTGGAAAGATACCCCTTCCCACCCACACCCCACACACACGAGGGGCTGATTGAATTACTCCCACATCCCAGTATGCAGATGAAATACTCTCTCTCTCTCTCTCTCTCTCACCTCCATCTCCTTACATTCAGAACTTATGAACACTAGAGAGAGAGAGAATCCCCACACAGCATCTGACAGCCTCAAGATCAAAGACAAAGTGAGGAGAGTGTTAGAGGCTGGTAATGGATTCTGTCTACCTGTGTATCTGTCTACCTGTGTATCTGTCTACCTGTGTATCTGTCTACCTGTGTATCTGTCTACCTGTGTATCTGTCTACCTGTATCTGTCCACCTGTATCTGTCTACCTGTGTATCTGTCTACCTGTGTATCTGTCTACCTGTGTATCTGTCTACCTGTGTATCTGTCTACCTGTGTATCTGTCTACCTGTGTATCTGTCTACCTGTGTATCTGTCTACCTGTGTATCTGTCTACCTGTGTATCTGTCTACCTGTGTATCTGTCTACCTGTGTATCTGTCCACCTGTGTATCTGTTCACCTGTGTATCTGTCCACCTGTGTATCTGTTCACCTGTGTATCTGCTCACCTGTGTATCTGTCCACCTTATCTGTCTACCTGTGTATCTGTCCACCTTGTATCTGTCTACCTGTGTATCTGTTCACCTGTGACTTGTCTACCTGTATCTGTCTCACCGTGTATCTGTCTACCTGTGTATCTGTCTACCTGTATCTGTCTACCTGTATCTGTCTACCTGTATCTGTCTACCTGTGTATCTGTCCACGTGTATCTGTCTACCTGTGTATCTGTTTACCTGTGTATCTGTCTACCTGTGTATCTGTCTACCTATCTGTCTACCTGTGTATCTGTCTACCTGTGTATCTGTCTACCGTGTATCTGTCTACCTGTGTATCTGTCACCTGTGTTATCACCTGTATCTGTCTACCTGTGTATCTGTCCACCCTGTGTATCTGTCTACCTGTGTATCTGTCTACCTGTGTATCTGTCTACCTGTGTATCTGTCTACCTGTGTATCTGTCTACCTGTGTATCTGTCTACCTGTGTATCTGTCTACCTGTGTATCTGTCCACCTGTGTATTTGACAGTCCATCAATTTACGAGGTATAAAACTAATAATAACAATAATAATAATAAATCGGAAATAGAGGCATAGACTAATCTTAAATCTGGTTCTCTTTTATTCTGGCTAATAAACCAGAATAAAAAAGGATTTGGACTTTGCATCAGATTTTAACCTATTTTCATAATTTGGACAGATTTTAAAATAGCTTATATCACTCCGGGACAGATTTTAAAGTACTTCAATAATTGGGTCAGATTTTATAGTACTTAAATTTTGGGGTCAGATTTAAAAGGATTTAATTTCAGGTCACACGTAGTATAAAGGAGATGAAATCTGGCGGGAGTTTCACAGTTTTGTTTACATGTGTGAGTTGCCAGCGAGACTTTTTGGAGTTCTCTCTCTCTCTCACTTTTTTATCTTTCTTTCTTTCCGAAATTTAACAATATGGAAAGCCAGAAAGACAATCATGCAACGTTATATAGATACATATATAGGGAGAGAGAGAGAGAGAGAGAGAGAGAGAGAGAGAGAGAGAGGGGGGGGGGGGGCTATATTCATAATTACTACACTATTGCTAATATTACATCGTGTTCAAAATTCACAATTACTTTACGTTGTTCAAAGTTAAAAAAAAAAATGTTCAGAACAGTTTGGTCGGTAGTTGGGATCTGTTGACAGTATGTGGGTTTTAGTACATGAGCTGCCAACTAGATTTTCCAGGGGTGTGAATTTTCCAAAAGTCACTCGTGTAGAAAAAAGTTTAAAAAAAGTTGTAATTTGGCCGAGTTGTTTAGAATATGTTTTGGTTAATATATATATCTTACGTTAACATAAATAGGAGACATTTCCCCCAGTTAGTAAATTTTTTCGTTGATAAATTTGTCGAATTATAGGAGAGAGAGAGAGAGAGAGAGAGACTCGTGCACTGACCAAGAGACTTAAACCTTGAATATTACGACAATGAACTTAAGCTCTGTGTGTGTTTTAACGATCCTTTGTGTTAAGAAGAGCGGAGGGCGGAAGAAGAGCGAAAGAAGGGTGAAGGAGGGCGGAAGAAGGTGCGGAAAGAGGGCGGAAGAAGTGGTAATGGATTCTATTGTGGGTTCTGTTGAGAGGGTGGAGTGGGGTGGAGGAGGGTGGAGTGGGGTGGAGAGGGGAGGAGAGCAGGCGAGAGTGAGGGGGAGGGGAGAATGGAGAGAGGGTGGAGGAGAGGAGGAGTGTAGGGTGGAGAAGTAGTGTGGGTGGAGTAGGTGGAGAAGTAGGTGGAACAGGTGGAAGAAAACATTTAAATTTACCTTAAGTCAATTACCTGTACAGTTCTCAGTCACACCTCTAAACAATAACAACAACAATACCAACAATAATAACAATAACAAAATCAAAATAACAATAAGAATAACAAAAATAATAAAATATAAATAACAATAACAACAACAATAACTACAATAACAACAATAACCAATAAAATAACAGCGTAACTTTAAAAACAATATCGACCAAAAATCAGTAAAAATCACATAGGCATTTTTTTTCAATAAACACGACTGCTAATTTAACTTTATTGTAACGAATTCTTTTCTGATATGCAAATTACTTCAATCTGCATATTTTATTATTTACCCTCCAAAATACGTAAAATTATACCATATATACAGTTTATATTTTTAGAGAATTATACATGTATAATATTTATTTTTTTTATGAATGAAAAAAATAAAATAAATAATAATAATAATAATTGGTGTTTCTTAGCATTATATTCCCTTATTTATTGTCTCTCTCTCTTCCTTATTTATTGTCTCTCTCTCTCTTCCTTATTTATTGTCTCTCTCTCTTCCTTATTTATTGTGTCTCCTCATTACAGTCTCTCTCCCTCAATAATCCTGTTGGACAAGATTTCTACCTGTAAAAGTAAAGAAACTAGTAAACCTGTTTCACCTGTTTCTTATTTAGTACTACTACTACTACTACTACTACTACTACTACTA